AAAACATAAACATTTAAGCTCAAATACACAAAAACTACATTGTTATTTTATACTAAGTATACATGTATGTATTTGTACATATGTATTATTATCTAGTGGATGACTAGCTATGGGTTATGACTTAAAGTGATTTTATGTAAGGAATATGGTGTCTAAATCAATTAAGATAAGAGAAATGGTTGAGATAAGTGTCAAGTTAACTAATAAGTGCTTAATCACTTAAGACATTTTGCTAAGAATACTTCTTAATCCCTCTTCTAATTTTCGAGAATACCAACTTCCCTCTCCATAACTAGAACATCTAACTAACTAACTAACTAATAGTTAGTTAGTTAACTAATTCTATCTTTAACTAACTAGGAGACCAAGTGGCTAGACAAAGATCACATCTCATAAACTCTCATCCCATCACAAGCTAGTCTAGGTTTTGTCTCCTTATCCTCTTCCACTCTTTTCTCCTTCAAATCCACGAAATCTCCTCTTCATTTTACCCTCATTTGACCAGCCAATACTCCAGGGAATTACTCTCAACCTTCATCTCATTTTCAGCCACAAGAACTTTCTTCCAAAGCCATCAAAACCGTGAACTAAAGGGCTGCTGTCCCTTTTGTGTTTCAGCCACTATTTCACCCATCTACACCTTCCTTTTGCTTGATATTTTTACCACCAAATACCCCTGGAAGTTAGTTATTATGCTACTCAAAATTATAGATTCAAAACAGTGAGTAAACTACCTTTTTCTTACCCTTTTTGCTTTGAAGATTTCGTGACAGCAACATAGCCAAAACAGTGGCTGTTTTGGAGCATCAAACAAACACCCAAAAGTTCTTCACCTTCCTGCCCATTTTCGAGATTTAAAGTATTCCATATGTATCTACTTTCAAACACTTAAAACCCCTGAGAAAGTTACCCTTTACCTCTCAAAAAGCTTGTGTTATTCCACCACCTTTTGGCAATATACTTAGATCCAAGTTAAAGCTAGGTATATTCTTGATTTCTACTCTTTCTTTTTATCATCAAGTCCACTGATTTTAAATGATTTAAGACATGATAAAAGTCTAACATACATGTAAATATATGTCTTTATGTGTTAAGACATCCAAAAGAATACTCAAATTGCAAACGTGAGTGGAACCGGAAACCGCACAAACCATTCTCAAACCGAATAACTCTACGCGACAAATGTGAGTTTTCTACGGCCCATCTTTTATGTTTTACAAGTTTTGGGGGAGAATACACACTAAAAAAATTATATTTGAAAGATTTAAAGGCTTTGCTAACTAAAAATGCAAGTTATGTCACTAAACATATATATGCTTAAATTTCAGCTTTTCACAGAAAAGTTGTGGTCTGTTCTCGGACTGTTTTACCATGCTTAAACTTAATTGATTTCAAAACTGTACAATATGCTAATAGTTCAGGTTTATACCTTTCCAAGGACTACTCGCACGCGTTCATACGATGTTTCTACAATTTATAATGATTTTTACAAAACTGCCTATCATTTCATAACATTTTCGTACCAGTCTGTAAAAATGAACATTTTCTCTCTGGTTAGAAACCACTTTAGGTCATGGTAAAAATTATGGACAAAGTAGACCCATTTTCTAAGCTCTGAGAGTTTACGGATTGTAATTTCGACTTACGATGATTTTTCTATAATTATTCTAAAATCATGGACAGAATTGCCCTTTGATAAACCTTGTTGTTTGGTTTTTCAAATATAAATATAAAGTTTTGTTGTAAATGAGAAATACACAAATTATGATAATGTTTAATTCACACATACTTTAAGAGTTACACAAGTGTAAATTATAACAAGTATTACTAATATAATAATGTTGACAACCTTATAAAATAAGATGATTTGAATTATGTCAACTTTGGTCACTCACAGCCGGGGTGCTGTATAAACTTTGTTGGTCACTTACAGTCGGAGTACTGTCTAAACAACGATATGGTCACTTACAGTCGGAGTACTGTCTAAACAAATATATGGTCACTTACAGTCGGAGTACTGTCTAAACAAATATATGGTCACTTACAGTCGACGTACTGTTTAAACTCGTATAAAACTCGTATAGGGACACATAAGACCGTTGTCCCGATCGTATAAAGACACATACGACCGTTGTCCCGATAGAACTTTGGTAGCTTTACATTATTAAGCATTACAACCAAAAGTCTTCAAACTCAAACAATCAGGAATTATAACAAAGTCATGGATACAAATATACTAATACACACTAGGATGAGGTTGTATGTAGTATAAATATTGTTTGTAGATTGTTAAACTGATTCTTAGTGTTTATTTATATAAATACTAAATATTTTGCTTCACAAAAATATGTTAATATTTACGTTTATCATAAGTATTTTAACATGGATACTCGTAGTGGATTTCAAGTATCGGGTCTCACACGAAGCATATCGGTAACATTGTTGACCATGTTTTGCCCAACTTATTTTGTTAAACATTCCATGTTTTATAAAGAGAGTATGTAGTATAAATATTGTTTGTAGTTTGGTAGTGTTTATTTATATAAATACTAATTATATTGTTTCACAAAACTATTTTAAACCGATTGGTAGTGTTTATTTACATAAATACTAAATATTTTGTTTCACAAAAATATGTTAATATTCACTTTTATCATAAGTATTTTTACATAAATAGTCGTATCGGATTTCAAGTATCGGGTCTCACACGAAGCATATCGGTAACATTGTTGACCATGTTTTGCACAACTTATTTTGTTAAACATTCCATGTTTTATAAAGATTTCTTTTTATAAAACTCACGGAGTCAAAACTTGTGGAACTCACCAACAATTTTTGTTGACGTATTTTAAAAATGTGTATTCTCAGGTAACTAAGAAGCCGGAGGTAGGACATCGGTTCTAAGGAAATTATAGTTCCTTTCTTTTGGGAATAGACTTAACTTGTTTATCGTAGTGTGTTTAAATTATGAAGATGTAATTTAAATTCCAAAACATAAATGTTTGTAAAATAAGGATTCAAATATATTAAGTATTCGATATATGTGGTTGACTTGTGATCCAATTGTAATAACGTCGCAACCCCGACATTTTCCGCCGTCGGTCGGGGTGTGACACAATACCTTTCATATTTTTTTTGTTTTGTTGTTATCTTTGTTTCTTCTGTTACATTGTCATTTTTTTCGCTTTTTGTGCTTTTGTTTTGGATTTTCTGAGATATATAAAAATACATATATAATCAGAAAATGACAAAGTCAATTTCAATCAGATGTGATTGAACACAGTCATATTATTTATCACCTTCGTTCGTGATTTTTGTATTTGTCCTCATTCTGGAATATTTTTTTTCAAACGTTTTAGTATCATCTGCAATTTCAAACGGACTTTATTTACACAATACATGAATTACAGAACACTAAATCGAGAAATTAAACTTTAATATTAGTAAAATTGAGAGTTTAGTCGTAACTTTTGAATAAATGCATATTTCATGTATGTTGAACAAAGCAACAGTAGAAAAACTATATACTCGCAACGAGGGTTTTAGTTTGAAATAACGTTTGAATACATGCAGATTTCATGTATATTTAACAAAAAAACTTTCAGTAAATTGTTCGACATCGAAACTAGGGTTTGATTTCAAAAAAACTTTTGAGTAATGTCGATTTCCTGTATATTGATGAAACTAACAGTATTCGAGTGATATTCATAAAAAAACTCGATAATAATGAGAATCGAGTGATATTCAGCAAAAAAAAAGTCAAATATGCGTTGTGATACCTTTGGATGAAGGTTTTGATGGCGATATTTCTTTTTTTGACGACATTTCTTCGTTTTCGTTGAAAATGTTTGAAAAAGGATGAAATGTTAGAGAGAGAAGAGGGTTTTCTGTCGAGAGAAATGATGTATTTTGATGGCGTAAATGGAAGATTTCGATTATGTATGCACAATTTAGTTTATATTCCTTTTTACGATTATACCCACTTATTTTCTAAATGTGATATGTTTGGAACCAATTGTTAAGTTATTTACAATTATGTCACCTTCTAAATTCTACATATAAATCCCGTGGAACGGTAACAGAAAACTATTTAGCTTGTATAATTTGTCACATTTTTTCAACTTTTATCCAGATTGAGCCAATACTTTTATTTTTACACATGATAATATAACTATTATTATTTGTTTTTGTAATCATACATGATTGATGTATAAATCATACATTGTCCTTAATAAATGCAAATTAATCACATGTGATTTAAAAATTGTTTTTTGTATTTGTAATCATATATGATTGATGTATAAATCATACATTGTCGTTAATAAATGCAAACTAATCATATGTGATTTAAAAATTGTTTATAATCACATATTATGACGTATATAACCACATGTGGTTTCAACCCATGCGGAACATGGGCTTCTCCTAGTTAAAGTGTAATTTGTATGTATTCGTATGTTACACATGATAATCACATGTGATTATTTACAATATTTTATTGGATAAATATAATCATATGTGTTTGAATTATAAACCATACAATGATCATATGTGATTATTTTTCTAATCACATGTGTTTATATTAATGTTTATATGTTTAACCACATATTGTACTATTGTATTTTTTGCTTTTATATTTATAGTCATATGTGATTGAGTATTCAAATGTTTTTTTGTTTTTGTAATCATACATGATTGATGTATAAATCATACATTGTCCTTAATAAATGCAATTTAATCACATGTGATTATATATATGCTCAAACATTTAAGCTTCACATAACCATATTAAGCTTCACATATCCATGATATCATATATGTGCTCAAACATTTATATAATTAAAACCTAATAATTGTGTTTAATAAATTACCAAGCATCCTAATAATGAAAAAGTAAACATTGTCTAAGTAAACCATCAATCAAATTATGCATTCACAGACTTCACCATTTTCGATCTTAAACTTCACATGAAACCTCTTCCCACAATAACAATGTTCTCTCAATCTTTAACATTGTCATTATCTTCATCATCACCATCATCTTCATCATGTTCATCATGTTCATCATCATCATCATTATTTATGTTGTCTTCTTGAGCAATTTGATCTTCATCATTAAAAAATTCATTGAGCATACTTTTCAAATGATTCAATCTTACACTTGTTGGGAAGTTATTGATTCCATTTTCAATCAACAAATTGATTTTCCTAATCTTCATCAAAATCATTTGTTCATAGTCCTAAATCAGAATTAATTTGAAGTTTATATTAGCAATATATATCATTAAACATTATAACTATTAAATAATGAGATTTTTTTTGTATAACTGCTATAAATACATTTACCTCCTGGTTAATATCTTCTTCAACAAAATCTTCATTTAAATCTCCTGTACCAAATTGCTTGACTATTTCTTTTTCATAAATTTCTCTAAGCTTCATTTTTTCTGATGTCCAGTGATAGATAACTGGTCGTTTTCTTTTAGCAATAACTACACTGCAATGGACTCTATCTACATAAAGCAACTGGAAAAAAAGAAATATTTGTTATTATAATCACATGTGATTAAACTATTATGTATTTATAATCATATGTGATTTAAAACATTTTACTGTTAAACCACATATGATTATAAATGTTATTAAATAAAAGAGATGTTATAAAGCATACCACTAAAAAGGCAGATGGTCCAACAAAATAGCTTGTTGGATTAGATGAATCAAAAGATCGTTTTGTTTTAACCAAACAATTAAGCAAGTAGGAGCACCAGTCAATGTTGCTTATGTTTGTATTCTTCATGATGTAGTTTAAGGGATATGTGTTTGCTTTTCCGCATGAGCTTGATTCTATAAGAGAGTTGATCAACAAACCAATAAAGTTCATCTGGAAGTTCATATCCGCGTTGTCCGAGGTGACAATATTCATTTTAATCTCATGCAATCTGATCATTTTTTTGTTTTCAAATTGTTCAGTCCATTCATCATAACATTTATCATTTTCTTTTCGAAATGGAAGTTTTGAAAACTGTTTTTTTCCCAAAGGAAATCCTAGCATTTGATTCACAGATTCTCTTGTCACATCAATCTCAACCCCCTCTCGAAGAACAATTTTCATTTTTGTCGGATCAAATTTATCTACAACATAACGGCTTAATGCCCCTGGCACTTCAGTCATTTTCATTTTCAATAGATCACCAAATCCCATTTGTTTCACACAATCTTTTTGTATTGTATTGAAACCTTGGATGATTGATAACAACGCTCCAAGTGAGCACCTATATTATCAAAAATAACAATTAATGAATTAAATTATATTTGATTTAAAACAAATTAATCAAAGAGTTTTCAAATCATATATGATTTTATTCATATATAATAAAATCATATGTGATTGATTAATTCGATATGTGATTATTCCTGTCTTAAAACATACTGTCATTAAGAAAGCCATACATGTTTCTAATTGTATCAAAATGCTTATTTACAGTCTTCTTCTTTCTTTTTTTAGTCTCTTTTGTTTCAGAAACTGAATCTTCAGCTTTTCTTTTCTTTTTTGATTCGTTTTTCTTCTCTGGTCCTATAAAAGATGTTAATGAAGTCATAATAAGTAAATAAAAAATGATTATACAAATAGTTAATAAATAAGCATATATTTTTCAATCTCTATTTTAATCACATGTCATTGAAGGAATATTGTTTTTAAATAATGTGTATAACTTATAGATATAAATCACATATGATTGAAACAAGTCATTATAAATAAAGCATACAATATTTATATTAAAAGATATTCTTTTATGATTGGATTTGCTTGTGTGTATCAGAGATTCTAATCACAATGTCAGTTAATCAGATTTTAGGATGTTTATGTATATAATCATTTGTTAGTCACATGTTAGTAACAATCCTAAAATATTGTTTAATCACATGTAATTAGCATCTCTAATACAAACATACAAATCCAATCACAAGTGAGTATCATATGTCTTTTATGAATTGTTTTGGATTATTGATATATATTAATATATATAATCATTTGTGATTGAAATATATCTTTTTCAGCTATCTTTCTTGGTGATTTTCTTGGTTGTTTCTCTTTAGACACTTATATGTTTTGTTCTGAAATTATATAAATTAAAATAGAATTAGAAAACCATATATGATTAAAACAAAAGCATAAGGTTTTCATAACAGATTTTAATCCCATGTGATTGAATATGTTTTGTGTATTTAATAAAAATCACATATGATTGAAAGCATGTTTATGTATATAATCATAAGTTAATCACATGTTATTAACAATCCTAAAATATTGTTTAATCACATGTGATTAGAATCTCTAATACAAACATACAAATCCAATCACAAGTGAGTATCATATGTCTTTTATGAATTGTTTTGGATTACTGATATATATTAATATATATAATCATTTGTGATTGAAATATACCTTTTTCAGCTGTCTTTCTTGGTTGTTTCTCTTTAGGCACTTCTATGTTTTGTTCTGAAATTATATAAATTCAAATATAATTAGAAAACCATATATGATTAAAACAAAAGCATAAGGTGTTCATAACAGATTTTAATCCCATGTGATTGAATCTGTTTTGTGTATTTAATAAAAATCACATATGATTGAAAGCATGTTTATGTATATAATCATATGTTAATCACATGTTATTAACAATCCTAAAATATTGTTTAATCACATGTGATTAGAATCTCTAATACAAACATACAAATCCAATCACAAGTGAGTATCATATGTCTTTTATGAATTGTTTTGGATTACTGATATATATTAATATATATAATCATTTGTGATTGAAATATACTTTTTTCAGTTGTCTTTCTTGGTGATTTTCTTGGTTGTTTCTCTTTTGGAACTTCTATGTTTTGTTCTGAAATTATATAAATTCAAATAGAATTAGAAAACCATATATGATTAAAACAAAAGCATAAGGTGTTCATAACAGATTTTAATCTCATGTGATTGAATCTGTTTTGTGTATTTAATAAAAATCACATATGATTGAAAGCATGTTTATGTATATAATCATATGTTAATCACATGTTATTAACAATCCTAAAATATTGTTTAATCACATGTGATTAGAATCTCTAATACAAACATACAAATCCAATCACAAGTGAGTATCATATGTCTTTTATGAATCGTTTTGGATTATTGATATATATTAATATATATAATCATTTGTGATTGAAATATACATTTTCAGCTGTCTTTCTTGGTGATTTTCTTGGTTGTTTCTCTTTCGGCACTTCTATATTTTGTTCTGAAATTATATAAATTCAAATATAATTAGAAAACCATATATGATTAAAACAAAAGCATAAGGTGTTCATAACAGATTTTAATCCCATGTGGTTGAATCTGTTTTGTGTATTTAATAAAAATCACATATGATTGAAAGCATGTTTATGTATATAATCATATGTTAATCACATGTTATTAACAATCCTAAAATATTGTTAAGCACATGTGATTAGAATCTCTAATACAAACATACAAATCCAATCACAAGTGAGTATCATATGTCTTTTATGAATCGTTTTGGATTATTGATATATATTAATATATATATAATAACATGTGTAGGCTTTTCTTTGTTTTTTTCTGGAAAAAAAATACATATATAATTAGAAAATCATATTTGATTATACACATAAAATATATGAATCAGAACTGATTATTGAATAATTTAACTGTTACCATTTTCAGTTTGTCTTCTTGTTGTTGTTTTTGTAAATTTTTGAGTAGTCGTTTCTTTAGGTTTTGGCTGCTCTTTATTGGTTTCTGAGATGTACAAATAGATGTATTATAAGAAAATCATATATGATTATTAAAAGTCATGAAAAATAAATAATATATTGTTTATACAGATTGTGATCACATGTGATTCAATCTTTGTTCTATGTATAAATATAATCACATGTGATTCAATCATTTTCGAGATTATAACATCAACAAATCATATGTGATTGCAAACGTTCATTATAAGTAAGAATTCATCAGCAAATCATATATGATTGAACATAGTCATATGATTTATCACCTTCATTTATGTTTTTTGGATCTATCATCTTTCTGGAATGTTTTTTCTCAAACGTTTACACAAACCGACTTTATTTACACAATAAATGAATAACAGAACACTAAATAAATTAATTAAACGTTAATACTAGTAAAACTGAGTGTTATTTAAGAGAAAACTATAGTAAATTGTTCGACATCGAAACTAGGGTTTGATTTCAAATTTTTTTTTTTTGAATAATGCTGATTTACTGTATATTGATGAAACTAACAGTAGGAAAACTCAAAAATCGAGTGATATTCATCAAAAAAAAAGTTGATAATCATGAAATCGAGTGATATTTAGCAAAAAAAAAACGTCAAATATGCGTTGTGATACCTTTCGATGAAGCTTTTGATGGCGTTTTCCCTGTTTTTGACGACATTTTCTTCGTTTTCGTTGAAAATATTTGAAAATGGATGAAATGTTGGAGAGAAGCGAGGGTTTTCTGTTGAGAGAAAATGAGGGTTTTTGTTTTCGCAAATCGAGTTTCCCGACAATGTATGTTTGGAAATAGTTTATATTTCTTTTAACGATTATAGCCCCTTATTTTTTAAATTTGATATATTGGAACCAATTGTTAAGTTATTTACAATTATGTCACCTTGGAAAATTAAAATGTAACTTTTGTTCTCAAATGTTCTCGCGGGAAAAATGTTCTCGATTGAACGCTCCCCTATATATATATATATATATATATATATATATATATATATATATATATATATATATATATATATATATATATATATATCCGGCCGTGACATTTTGGATGTAGAAATCAAAATGAGGCCTCATAAAACTTTCTTTTTGTAAAATATTAATAATTAAATTTGCTACCATTAAATTCAAAACTCAAAATTGCTAATAAATATCTCGTAAAATCAATACCACAACATCAAGTCTTGATTCATTAGATATTTCAGTTTTTAGAATCATGATGTTCACCAGAAGGGCTTCTTTGTCATCACCATTACCAATCAAGGTAACTATGTCTTCATCTACACAAGACTTATCTTCTTACACTAACAGTTTAACTTCTTATTCTCTAGGTTTTTTCAACAGCCTCATGAACTTCATCCACATTTTCTGGCAAACACAATTCAGTTTCTTCTTCACTATATTCTTCTACAACTGATTATTCATTATAATGATATTCCGACATTTGTTTGATGATAAATAAATTGATAGATCATATTTGACTATAAAAATATTATTCTAATTTTTGTTTCTTTTAAGTTTAGAACAACCCCATTTAGTTTTTCTAGTTGGAGACATCTTTTTTCTAACTAAAAAAAATCAATGTTAATAACTTAACAGTATATATTTTTAATATTTATTAAAAAGTTCATGTTTAAAACAATTACGACATCAAACAAAATTCTTGTTTTCTAATATTTTTTAGTATTAGACTATATTGGATTAATATTAGAACCCAAAAAAATATAGGAAAACCATTTTCCATCCTCCCCCACCCCACCCTAAAATCATCCAATGTCCTATATGATGGATAACGTAGGTTACAAAACAATGCTCTAAGCGAAAAAACATTTAACAACTAAATGATTAGGGCACATGCAACCTAAGGAGGATTTATGTCTTTCACATAAAGGCAACATACTATGAACTATCAAACTACAAAATTTTCTAATGAATTTTGAATTCATGAGGAAGATAACATACCTTGTTGATTGTTGTAGTAAACATTCAAGAATCCTTTCTTCAAAGCTTTTGGAAGCGAGCACCACAAGTGTAATGCCTCTGATCGTTCACACCCAACCCTAGTAGCTAGAATACTTGAAGAGAGAGGAGAGACGTGAGTATAATTTCAGCTTTCTCTATAGAAGAAGGAGTGGCCGAAATATGAAGGTATAGGACCCTTTATATAGCTGACTGAAACTTGGGGTCAAAGCAAGGGTTTTTGGGATAAGGCCTAGATTAATTAGTATAATAATCAAACTGTCTTATCTCCTTATCCAATCACCCTTAGACGAAGATTCTAGATTATCTCTAACCAATTTTCATCCACCCTATCCCATGGGGTTCTAGAGCCTTAATGCTTCAACTTTCAACAAAGTATGAACGACTGTGGAATTTATATAATTAAATT